TATTAACCCAACACATAATACAATTTATGACCATAGTAGTGGCAATATGATGGTCCTATGACACTTTAGGCACGTTTTCCCCATAAGAATAACATGGTGAGCTTTTTTTGACCACTTTTTTAAAAATCCAGCTCTTGGCCAATACAAGCCTATATAAATGTTCAATACCATTGTACAACTCCATTACTATTTCAAATCCACATCTATTCACATGTATATTCTCAAAATCGATCGAGGTTTGTACGCGAACTCGTGCGCGCTCCCGGCTCACGGCGTGCTCCCTTGGACATCCTTAGTGGAAATCCATGAGTTCTGGCTACTTGGGAACCCAAGCCATTTGACATACAATAAATCACCCTTTCTCCTAATTACCTTTTCTACTAAATACATGTCTTTATACTTGGTCTTTAACAACTCCTCTGTATAGAATCCTCCTCTGATTATATTACCATTTTCATCTTTCAAGATATAAGTCACAGGCTTTGTATTCTTTACTTCTGCTATTGTAAATAGTTCCCCTGTCCAATTCGGGGTATATCCTTTACTAAAAACATGTTTATACTTGGAAATTCTCACACTATCACCTACCTTATATCTTGGCTTTTTAACTTGCACTACTTTAGAAGTCAATCTCTCATGCACATATTTACTGTTCTTAATATTCACTTGGTTAGGCTTCATTCCTATAGATCTATGCACCTTATTATTATATTTTCGAATTAACTTTGGAAGTAAATCCAACCATTTATAACTCCCCTGAGCACTAAATTCCCTATATAACCAATTCTTTAAAGTTCTCTGAAACCTCTCTACAATTAATTGCAGACTTAGTTGTAAAAATGTGTGATAGTGATTAATATTTAACTTTTTCATTAGTTTGCTAAAATATTGATTAAAAAATTCTTTTCCATTGTCAGATTGAATGTTTTTAACCCCCTTTGGTAGAATGGTTTTAATGGCTTCTGTAACTACCAACCCTGTCTTATTTTTTAGCAGAGCAGCATAAGCTTTTTTAGAAAATGTATCTATTAAAGTTAAAATATATCCATTGCCAGATTTTTTAACACTTTGCTATATCTTAAATAGTTTTTGAGATACAGTATTTTAAAACAATATTATAAACTTAAAAATGTCAAATGTGCAAAAATGCCAAAAAAGTCTGGACTTTGAAAATTTTCATGATAACTGTTATTTGTACCCATATAAAATAATGTTAAAATTGTTTTTGAATTTTTGATTTTTTTATGTTGTAATATTGTTTTAAAATACTGTATCTCAAGCAGTTTTCGAGATATAAGCATTTTAAAACAATATTATGGGCTTAAACAATTTTAGGTGAGTAAACATGTCAAAAACTATGAATAAGAAAGTTCTATCTTTTGATGATGACGAGAGGCTTATTCTGGAAGATGACATTAATACTCTTGCTCTTAGTAATTATAAAATTGATCAAACATAAATCTATAATTGCAATTATTATTTAGCCTTTCAGTAGTGGTAATATGATGGTATGACCCCACTTTAGGCGTTTTTCCCCATAAGAATAACATGGGGATCATTTTTTGGCCACCAATTCCAAAAATCCTGATCTTTGCCCACATATCCCTATATAATTGTCAAACCTTATTTCTTACTTATTCCCCATAAATATATTCGATATCAAGCTAAAACAGCTATTTCTTACATTTATTGACCATTACAGGTGTAAATGTAAAGTAGTGGCGAACTAGCAAAGAGACCCCACTTTAAGCACGTTGTCTATTATGAAAAAGCCATATTTAGTTTTATCCAAACTTTAGAGGAAGAGATCGCTAAATTGGTTAAATGAAACGTCATTACCAACATGCTTGTGATACACATGTTTTAAAACTTAAATCGTCTTGTTTGGATAATATTAAGAAATTTACATTATCACATAAATGTTTGTGTACTTTGCTGCAAGATTTACACAAGTAAAAACAGTCAATATTTTTATGTCGACCTTTTGACAAAAATGGTGTAATATTTGGACTATTCATGTCATCAAATACAACAACTTACTGTGACTTTGATGTGAATGTTTGTGTACTTGTGTACTTCATCACACAAATTTCACACTATTTTCACAAATGTCACATGAATTGTGAATTTCACTGTGATTGTGATGTGAATTCGTGTGTACTTTATCACACACTTTTCACACAACTTTTATAAATTTCACACAAATTTTACACAATTTGTGAAATTGTAACAAAGATTTCACATGAATTGTGAATTTCACTGTGACTGTGATGTGAATTCGTGTGTACTTTATCACACATATTTCACGCAATTTTTATAAATTTCACACAATTTGACACAATTTTCACACGATTTGACACAAATTTTACATAATTTGTGTCAAATCGTGTGAAAATTGTGTCAAATTGTGTGAAATTTATAAAAATTGCGTGAAATATGTGTGATAAAGTACACACGAATTCACATCACAGTCACAGTGAAATTCACAATTCATGTGAAATCTTTGTTACAATTTCACAAATTGTGTAAAATTTGTGTGAAATTTATAAAAGTTGTGTGAAAAGTGTGTGATAAAGTACACACGAATTCACATCACAATCACAGTGAAATTCACAATTCATGTGACATTTGTGAAAATAGTGTGAAATTTGTGTGATGAAGTACACAAGTACACAAACATTCACATCACAGTCACAGTAAGTTGTTGTATTTGATGACATGAATAGTCCAAATATTACACCATTTTTGTCAAAAGGTCGACATAAAAATATTGACTGTTTTTACTTGTGTAAATCTTGCAGCAAAGTACACAAACATTTATGTGATAATGTAAATTTCTTAATATTATCCAAACAAGACGATTTAAGTTTTAAAACATGTGTATCACAAGCATGTTGGTAATGACGTTTCATTTAACCAATTTAGCGATCTCTTCCTCTAAAGTTTGGATAAAACTAAATATGGCTTTTTCATAATAGACAACGTGCTTAAAGTGGGGTCTCTTTGCTAGTTCGCCACTACTTTACATTTACACCTGTAATGGTCAATAAATGTAAGAAATAGCTGTTTTAGCTTGATATCGAATATATTTATGGGGAATAAGTAAGAAATAAGGTTTGACAATTATATAGGGATATGTGGGCAAAGATCAGGATTTTTGGAATTGGTGGCCAAAAAATGATCCCCATGTTATTCTTATGGGGAAAAACGCCTAAAGTGGGGTCATACCATCATATTACCACTACTGAAAGGCTAAATAATAATTGCAATTATAGATTTATGTTTGATCAATTTTATAATTACTAAGAGCAAGAGTATTAATGTCATCTTCCAGAATAAGCCTCTCGTCATCATCAAAAGATAGAACTTTCTTATTCATAGTTTTTGACATGTTTACTCACCTAAAATTGTTTAAGCCCATAATATTGTTTTAAAATGCTTATATCTCGAAAACTGCTTGAGATACAGTATTTTAAAACAATATTACAACATAAAAAAATCAAAAATTCAAAAACAATTTTAACATTATTTTATATGGGTACAAATAACAGTTATCATGAAAATTTTCAAAGTCCAGACTTTTTTGGCATTTTTGCACATTTGACATTTTTAAGTTTATAATATTGTTTTAAAATACTGTATCTCAAAAACTATTTAAGATATAGCAAAGTGTTAAAAAATCTGGCAATGGATATATTTTAACTTTAATAGATACATTTTCTAAAAAAGCTTATGCTGCTCTGCTAAAAAATAAGACAGGGTTGGTAGTTACAGAAGCCATTAAAACCATTCTACCAAAGGGGGTTAAAAACATTCAATCTGACAATGGAAAAGAATTTTTTAATCAATATTTTAGCAAACTAATGAAAAAGTTAAATATTAATCACTATCACACATTTTTACAACTAAGTCTGCAATTAATTGTAGAGAGGTTTCAGAGAACTTTAAAGAATTGGTTATATAGGGAATTTAGTGCTCAGGGGAGTTATAAATGGTTGGATTTACTTCCAAAGTTAATTCGAAAATATAATAATAAGGTGCATAGATCTATAGGAATGAAGCCTAACCAAGTGAATATTAAGAACAGTAAATATGTGCATGAGAGATTGACTTCTAAAGTAGTGCAAGTTAAAAAGCCAAGATATAAGGTAGGTGATAGTGTGAGAATTTCCAAGTATAAACATGTTTTTAGTAAAGGATATACCCCGAATTGGACAGGGGAACTATTTACAATAGCAGAAGTAAAGAATACAAAGCCTGTGACTTATATCTTGAAAGATGAAAATGGTAATATAATCAGAGGAGGATTCTATACAGAGGAGTTGTTAAAGACCAAGTATAAAGACATGTATTTAGTAGAAAAGGTAATTAGGAGAAAGGGTGATTTATTGTATGTCAAATGGCTTGGGTTCCCAAGTAGCCAGAACTCATGGATTTCCACTAAGGATGTCCAAGGGAGCACGCCGTGAGCCGGGAGCGCGCACGAGTTCGCGTACAAACCTCGATCGATTTTGAGAATATACATGTGAATAGATGTGGATTTGAAATAGTAATGGAGTTGTACAATGGTATTGAACATTTATATAGGCTTGTATTGGCCAAGAGCTGGATTTTTAAAAAAGTGGTCAAAAAAAGCTCACCATGTTATTCTTATGGGGAAAACGTGCCTAAAGTGTCATAGGACCATCATATTGCCACTACTGACCATTAACTTTTTTGTTAACGTTTATTGTATATGCAGTTGACATTTTGAATGAAAACACCACAATGTCTTGTAAAAAAAAAGTTTTAAAACCCTCCAAATTGATTGTGTATTTGTCGAAGCTCTAAATTATCCCTCTCTCGGAGAATTCCGGGACACTAAACCAACACCACATTGGTCACACCAATCACGATATTTGCAAACTATTTATTTTATTTGTTGTATACATAAATATATAATAATAAATAATAATAATAATAAACATATTGAAGTCCTACAATATTTTAAAAGTACTCACGGAGTTTGGCAGGGGCAGGAAGCGCAGGCGCGACAACTGCGACGAGTACGGCGACAACCAGGGCCCTCATCCTGCAGAGGCAAGGCGAGCGACAAACAGCAAGGGACCTATCCTGCTTCCCTGCTATATACCCTAGTCTGTCCTTGCTAAGCGAGTCGCGGGTTGGGCGAAAAAGCTGCGACTGTCATTATGTTGTTGTTTTACACTGTGAAATACGTCAGATTCGTTAGATGTCGATATTGAGATTCGAAGATAATGTGTTTTTAGAATTTTCCTTAAGATAAGATAAGTTGATATGGGTTAGTTTTTGGCTCATTCGATGTTAAGGCGAAATGTATACTGTTGGCAAGATTAAGTTGACACCTTGAAATGGGTTGTAGTGTTCACTATACGTTATCAAAAGGAAGACGATATTGAATTTTCTCCGAGTGCAAAAAAAAGAACAGCAGGAGTCATCTGATTTAGGTCAAAAGGTTATAAAATTATTAGAGGAAAACGAGCATTTCTTGACACTAAATGCATCAATGTAAATGTTGATTCACACTGGAACATTTGTCAGGTTCGATACATTAGCTCTAAAAAATAAATAGGTATTTGAGGACGAAGTGAATTTCCTGGGACTGCTCCTACGCGATCATGTCGTTTGTACTGACAAATAGGTTTGTTTACTCGCTTATTCTATGTTTTGGTAAAAATTGTGTAGAATAGTTTGTTAAACATGGCCCTTAAAGATATATAATTATGAGTTTTGTTACTTTAATTTTCGATTTCTTGGTCAAAAGTTAACAAAATTATTCGGGGACATTGCATATTTCTTGTACTGTCCCGTTAAAATCATGTCGTTGTTTTACACAATGAAATTTGAAATATTCACTGCGAAGAATGTGTGTTTTTTTGTACTGTCCGTTACCACCATTAGTTCGTTGTTTATTTGGAGGATCACAACAGTCGATTCTTCCAATGTATAGGTCAAATTATTGCAAAAGGATTTGAGGACAACATGCATTTTCTATACACAGGCCAAGTCCATTTTTATATAAATAGTAAGATTCACTTGATTTTTTTTAATGAGTATGAAATAATTTAAATCCAGTTTTTACTTTTCGGACTCTCCTCGTAAGACGGATTCGATGTAGTGAAATTAGATCCAGAAACACAAATATAGTATCAGGGCTGTGTGGGAGCCATTTTAATAAAAGAAGTGTGGGATATCAGCTGATCTATGGGGTTTAGACCATTTATCTAGAAGAACATCATGGTAGTTTTAAGAACCCCAACAGCCAAATAGATTTTGTTCTTGAAATTCGGTGGGAACTTTCAATAAAAAGATTTAAAAGAGCTGTAAAATTTCAGTAACTTTTTAGATGTTTGTTTCAAAACCAGACACTTTACTTTATCAAACCCAAAATACACGTAAAAAGTTAAATTTTTTTAGCATTGAATAGAAATAAGTATAAAATATTCGACACATTTGTCCACATTCTTAAAACGCATTGACTTTGAGATATTGAAATGTATTTTCTAAATACTATATTACGTAGTGCCGAGAGAATTACATAAACATAGGATTTAGTACAAATCTTTATCAATCCTAGAAAAATAATTGGCGACATTTTCAATCCTCATTCACTTCTGTCTCTTCATCCCAGTCACCCAATCATTGGCTAAATTAGCTTTTGTTCGCTTCTTCCACTTGTGCTGCATGAATCTTCACTTCGTGGTTTTCTAAAAATTCAAATATGTAAGCTGCCGTATTTTGAGTGTAATTTCCACCAGAAACCAAAATTGTAGCTACAATGCATCATCAACAAAATAATCATAAAAGTAGGGGTTCTGTTACTTCATTCATATTACAAAGTATCTAGTGCAAAAGTAATGCTATATGCTCACAATACAGTCTGGCTTGGGCGAGATTGGCGTCTGGTTATGAGCCCTTGAAGACGGGTTTTTGCAGGATGAAATCGAACCTGAGTTTGTAGAACTGTCAAGGCATTTCGTGACAAAATGAGCCTTGAACAATCAATTAAGCTGATAATGATATCGCTGCATTACTCAACAAGATGTCATATATCCTCTTAAGAGAGATAACAGCCTAGAATGGATCAAAATGGATGGACCCGGAAAACCATAAGAGGTATTAGATATCAAGTTTAAGTCCATTGGGTTTTTTAATAAATGTCCCTGGCTAATGAAACAGCTGATCTTAGTCAGTAACAAAGCTACAAAGGTCTCCCTTCCATTTACACATTTACCTTTTTATTAATTGCCTCTTCCACATTTATTTGAGAAGTTATTAATTGTATTTGAGAATCATTACTTGCATTTAAGAATATTTCAAATGTAAATTAGATTAGTCAGTTGAATTTGATAAAACAACAAATGTAGTTGAGAAAAGTCGATTGTATTTGAGAAAGTATTGTATAGAATTGAAAAATCGTTAATTTCATTTCAGAATGAGAGTTTCTAATTTGAAATGTTGGCAAAAATCAGCTGAATATTTATTTTTCATTATCAAATTACAAGTTCTTCAACTACATTTAACAATTTCTTAAATGGAATTTACTGCTCTCAAATTCATTTGATGTCTTCTCAAATACAACTGACTGTTCTCAACTTCATTTGATGTTTTCTAAAATTATGTTTGACTTATCTCAAATACAATTGATATGTTCTCAAATAAATATTCTTGAATAAAATCAGAAAAGGTGTAGAGTCGTCTTGCATCCATAGTCAGCTTCACTACGTATCTTGGTGTTCGTCACTGCCTTGATGATGATAATAGCAATAATATCACTTTACCCATTTAAGATCGATTCTTTAACAGTTTTTAAGTATTCAATGTGTCCTGTCACTGAAGTTATGTTCCTAGAATGGATTGGTTTTCCAAAGATCGATCACAAGTAAGACTTTCAATTGCACTGGTCTTGGCAGTGTCGAATATGCGAATAATTCCTGCAGTCAATTATGATCATGTTATTGAGTGTTCTAGAAATTTTAAACACAGCAGTTTAGTTGAATCGAATATTAAGTGGATCATCAATCCAGAATCCTATACTATACTCTAAAATAAGCGTTCACACCGGTATAAGCAGTATATATTTAGAAAACTCAAAATTATACTAAATACAATAATATAGCCTAGCCACAGCAAAACTGCAGACTTAGCCGATTTTCTATTGGGGTTTTACTAAAATATTGCACTTAACAAGTCAGATTTACTCCCTATCTATATAAAACGCTAATGAGGATCACGAACTTTTGAGACAAGAAAGCCGCACCCTCTATCAACAACATACTTGTATGAAAGATCTCAATGAGGAACTTTTCCGAGTAATATTAGTTTTTCGATAAAGGGTTTTATTTTCAGTCATATTAAAAATATTTCAGATGCGTTAGCCATGACTTTTGTTTTTATTCATACTTTTTTCCTGAGTACTGTTGATTCTCATCATAATTTGTCAATGTTTACATTTCGATCAAGTTATTGGTTTTGATTCCACCACACAATTCATTGCTGCATAAGATGTGTTTTAATAAGCCATAAGTACTAATTCGTGGCAAATGTGTAACTTTATTTACGGTAGATTTAAAGACCAACATTATTTTCCCATGTATCCTCAGTCCGTTGAGAAGCAACTAGTAGTTTAAATAACCTCAATTTTATCGAGTAGCCTACTTAGGTTTGCTGCTACAGGGAATGTAACAAGTTTTTTTTTTTGTAAAATAATAATAGTATAGTATAACACAGATAGGTTTAGCATGTATCTATAGATTCATAGAAAACTAAACTAGAATTGTTGTTTTTTTCCATAATAATAACTTAAGAATTTAAAATGTAAAGTTTTTTTGTATTTTCTCCGTAGTCTTAAATCATACTACAACGCTTCAATATAGGGCCTACAATATTATTTGTTATTTTAAGCTTTATATAGTAGCAGTAATGAAAAATGCGTATTTCCATGTTTTAAGGTTGACTAAGTGTTTCAAATCTTCAATTAAAATTAGATTTAAAAAATATATTTTAGAACAATTTAGAAACCCCATTACACCCCTCCTTTTATCCGATCTTGATGGTCCACGAGCTCATTCAAGTGCATCCAAACGTCATCATTCATGCAAGATTTAATCAAATCAATCACTCGAGTCATCGTGTTCACTGACACACACATATGTACAAATAAACTTCTATGGGTGTTTTTTTTTTTTTTTTTTTTTTTTTTTTTGCTTCTGTGGACACCTAATTGAAACAGTAAATCGTCCGGATTTAGTGTCACCTACAGTAATGGCTTCTTGCCTGTAGGGGAATTTCGAGAATGTATTTTTTTGCATTGCTCTTAAAACATAATGTTGTGGTGTGTCTCCTAACCAGTAAGCTATTATGGTAAATGGTTCCATAAATAACTAGTCTATACTAATATATAAAAATGAGATGGTGTGTGTTTGTGTTAGTGTGTCTGTCGGTTACTTAATAACGCAAGAACCAATGAACCGATTGAAATACAATTTTGTATGAAGGTAGCTTATATACCTGGTTAACATATAGGCCAATTCCTGTTATTATATTTTCCTTGGGCTACGCCACATGAGCTTCCAAAGTTTAAATTCTTACATTTTGGAAGAATGTAAATAGTAAAAAGTATTAATTGAAGTCAGCTGTAATAAGAGTTTCAATTGAGTTATGTTTCTGAAACCAAAGGGGAATATGTAACTATTGTATACAACATCAGAATTCAAGATCAAATTTTTTCACTTCAGTGTCCTCTCCGTTGCGAAGCACGGGTACAACAGCTAGTAATTTATATTTTTAACATTCAAATCATTGTTTAAAGGCAATATTAAAGTCTTTTTATGATGTTTCAAACTGTACCATAGTTTTTATTCCTTTTGGACTCATTAAATATCAATGACAAAGTTTGTTTGAAATGTGGACGGATAAATTTAATATCTCTATTTAATATTTAATTTATTACGTAATAATATCCTGAACAATATCAGAAGGTTTTAATTTAAGCACGTTTACTTATTAAATTACTCATGTAGTTCTCTACATCTATATTGAACGAAACCATGCAGCAACTACAGTCTAAAACTTGT